TTTTATGGACGTCGGAAAAATAGCTCGTCTTTGGTGGAATTTTTGATTTTAATCCCATTGTTTCTATTGGCAATCTTTTGACGAACAATAGCGAGAGCTCATGTATTTCTAATGTTGCATCTAACGACAATTGTTCTGTTATAAATCTCATTCTCATTATTTCCTCGACACTTCCTTCTCATTTGTCTCATTGCAGACCGCATCTTGTATTGTTACTTAGTTCATACGAGTTGTTCCTTTCTTTAGGCCTTGTCACTTTTATCGTGTTGCCTTACATATATTATATGTTATTAGATAAAGTTGGATTCAAAAAATAAAATTTTATATGAATGTGTAACTTTCAATATGGAACATGGAGTTGACATCAAGCCTAATAAATTTTCTTATAATTATTGACCTAATTTTAATATTTGTTTACATCCTACAACCATCCAAAAATTAAATAAGATTTAAGGCAACCAAAGCAATGGAATGTAGACAATCAATGTTGTCATCCTTGATGTTGATTTTTTGATTGCCCAAAAGACAAGCACTTACTTTTGCTGAACTATTCATTCATTGAATTTATAAATATTGGAATTCTGCAATTTGGTGGAGTTTATGATGTTTAGATATTTTGAAATAAGATAGCATTAATATCTTGCATTTATGAAGACCTTTTTTTTTTTTTTCTAAAGGAATGACTTGAGGCTATTATATGACCCATTAATATCTTACATATAATAGTTGCAGTTGCAACAAAAGAGATAATCAACCTTTTTTATTTCCTACTTTACATACATATGCTCTTTTGCATTTAATACATTTTGATGTATGGGGTTCAAACCCAATCTCATCTATTCTATAAATATTATTTATTTTTTATTGATGATTTTTCCCGCTTTCGTTGGGTGTTCCCAATGATAAGCAAAGTTGAAACTGCTCACATATGTATTCAATTCTCATGTCCCCACACCCCTGAACAGAATGGGAGTGTGGAACGCAAAGATAGACATTTCATTGAAACCACATGCACCCTTCTCCATAATGCCTCTCTCTCATCTACTCTTTGGGTAGACACTGTCCTTGCGGCAGCCTATTTCATCAAAAGAATGCCAGCTTAAAACAGTAAAACATCAAACATAAATCCCCATTAGAACTTCTCTACAATCATCAACCTACATACTCCCACTTCAAAGTGTTTGGATGTAGGTGATATCCGTGGCTACGACCTTATAGACCACATACTCGCACCTCGCTCTCAACCAATGTGTGTTTCTTAGGTAATCAGCTATCATAATGGGTTCAAGCGCTATCAACCTATCACTGCAATTATTCATTTCCCGCCACATCACCTTTGATGAACATGTATTCACTTAAAAATCATTATCCCCTTTACCTACTTCCCAACAACAACTGTCTCCTACAACAAATCCTTTTTTCCTTGTTCCTTCAACCTACAACAATCCTCATCTCCACCTGAAACAACCATCCCTTCTCCAATCGATAACTCGTCACCACCAAACCAATCTCCCACCATTCCAACCCTCCATGCATCTGAAAACAACATTTAATCTTACCACATGGTTACTCAAAGTGAGACAAAGCACCTAAAACCAGTTACCAAACTAAATCTCCTCTATCAACTCAAGCATCCTCCTAATCCTACATCATATACCAAGACAACAAAGCACGCTCACTGGCAGTCGACCATGAATGAAGAATGCCTTGCTCTCCAGAATCAAGGCACTTGGATTCTCATTCCACCATCAGTGGACCAACCGATGTTTGGATGCAGGTGGACATTGCACTAAAAATGATTCTGATGGGACCATAACAAGGTATAAAGCTCACCTCATGGCACAAAGTTATAATCAAGAATATGGAGTAAACTACTATGAGACCTTTAGTCTAGTGACAAAGATAACTACTCTCCATGTATTCTTCACAATTGCCTTTAACTGGAACTGGCTCATCTTACAATTCAATGTATCAAATGTCTTTCTCCGTGGTATGCTACTCCAAACTGTATATATGAAACAATCACCCAATTATATCAACTCTCAACTTCCCAACCATGCAAGTCTTCCCAAAAGGCATTATACGGTCTCAAACTGTCGTCGAGACAATGATTTGTCACTATCTCAGACTTCATTATTAATGAGGACTTCCACATCAGCAAAACGAATCTATCCCTGCTCATTTCACATAACATACATTCCCTCACCTTTATTTTTAATCTATGTTGATGACATACTAATCATAGGAGATACTATGATAGCAATTTAGTCTCTTACTACTCGACTCAACTCAAAGTTTTAAGTCAAGCATCTTGGATCGGTCTCTCAGTTTCTCAGCATTGAAGTCGCTCGTATGAAAAACTTATTCCTAGACCATCATAGCTATCGCACTTAGATACTTCTCTAATTTATTATGAAGGGATGTAAAACATCCACAGCGCACAACCCATGGAGACTCCAACTGAATTCCTCCAAATCACTGGGATACTTCAATATTTCACCATCATGTGCCTGGATATATCCTTCACCGTCAACCACTTCTGCTAACATATGCATAATCTGATCATTTAACATTTCTAACTTATGAAGCGAGTACTATGGTACCAACACGACACCTTCGACTATGGTATCTAGATCACAGTGGGTGATCTCACCTTACACACATACACTGATGTGGATTGGGTTGGAGATGCCAAAAATCGTAGGTCTACTATTGGATTTTGTACGTAGTTGGGCACTACGACAATGTCATGGGTTGTTAAAAAAGCAACATGCAGTTGCTCGTTCTTCCACTAAAGCTAAGCATAGAGTGCGCGTAGCGGCTACATCTGATACACTATGGTTGCAACATCTACTTATTGAATTTGGTGTGGTGTGGCCTAACCAAATCCAACAAAGGTTTCATGTGACAACCTCTCAGCAATGGCTAATGCCACGAACCCAATTTTCCATGCTCATACCAATTATATCGAGATCGACTGCTGATACAACAAAATAATATGTTATTTTAAGTATACATTTTATGCTTATTTTTTGTGATATTATACTTTAAAGATTGATATTTTCATGTTTTTGTTGCAGATATATCAGATATATCAATTTAATTTTAGGCATTTGGAGCAAAAGTGGTAAAAAGAAGAAAATTTAGAGCCAAAATAGAGGACTTTGTGATTCTTGTGCCTAAGGTGCCAGAACTGGCGCCAGAGGCGTCATTATATAGGGAAGCAACGCCTGAGGCGCTAGAAGCGTCAGAGCGCAGAACAACGCAGACTTAAGTAACTTAGCGCCTGAGGTGTCAGAAGCGTCAGAAGCGCCAGAGACGATACTTGATGGATTAGGAGGTTCAGGACGAATTTTGAGCGGATTTTGATGACTCCAAATATTTCAAACACCCCATGGATTGAGTCAATGCATCTATACACTTTGGAAGACTCTTTAATTAAGGGATGTCTCTTGAATGAATGAACATGTCTTTTGAGATTCCAAAAGTGTGACTTTTTGAAAGAATTTGAGAGAGAATTTTGAATTCTTTTTGAAAGGAGGCACCCGTTAATTAAAAAGAAGAGGAGTCTAGGGCATGAGTGTAGCGTGAGAGTGAGAGTAAGACTTTGGAGAAGAGAGAATTTTCTTCTAGGATTGTAAGAGAAGTAAGATGAGAAATTTCTTCTTCATCACATTTCTAGGAGAAAATTGAGTGTGATTGTAAAGGGAAAAAGTGCTTAAAGGAAACTTCTAGGGATTTGCTTGGGAAGGAGTGTGAGATAAGTTGTGTTCTTTTTTTTCTTTATTTTGTAAACTTATTTTTATATATGAAATCTGTGTTGTTATATCATTCTCATGAATTCTGAGTAGTCTTCTTTATTCTTCTCCATATAATGAGATTTGGTTTTGTGAAGAATTGATTTTGTTTTATACGGTTTTAAATGTAAAAAAATTTATGATGATTCGAACTCTGATCTTCATTTAAATTTTGATTTAGCCAATTGAAAGGTTAAAATTTGTTGAGAAACATAAGATTCGAAAGGGCTATACTTTTTACAACAATGTAAGAGTCACATTCAATTTCATTGGTGAGAATGTAATCCATGAGGTTGAGTGCAAATAAATAGGGAAATATACTTTATTTGACGTAAAATTGAAGATTTTAAGGTGACAGATTAAAATCCTCAATTTGACTCAGCTGATTGTAAACTAATGCGAGATTGTTAGCC